ATCAATGTCAAATCTCATAATTTGGCTCATGTCATTGGAGTCAAAGATTTATGCCAGATCAACAAACACTAAAGAATCTTATGTTTTTCATAATTATCCATCAGTGAAATTAATCTGAGTGTAGCAGTGATCAATGGTCCAGAAGTTGGTATGAAAAGCTTGCATCCTCTTGCCAAGGACAATAGAATGGGAGAACCAGATCTAAGGTTTATTGAGAGAAAAAGCTGGAATTTTAAGGACTGAAGGTTTAGTTTCTTTTAGAAGAAGAAATAAATCTGTCCTTGGAGAACTCTCAAATACCGAGATGAAATTATTTTTACAACAAGAGTAGCAAAGATTAAAGCTCACCACTCAGGTTCATGACTAACATTTCTGGTGGCACGAGATTTTCTCTTACCTTTTTTTCCAAACTGTTTATCTTAATTGGAAAGAATACTGGGGCCCTGTAATATGTAACATAATAGTCATGATTTGATAAAGTCAAGTGAAGTGTCTCATCCTAATATAAATAGAAATTTGAACTTCTTAGGTTTCTTTTTAAAAAATCCCTATTACAGATAATGGTATCCCCATTCATGTTGGCATTGGTGTTTAGTCCTAACAGGTAAGATTCCCACTGCAATATATTATAAATTGTAAATCAGCATCTTGGTCTTAGATTTCCGTGCTCACATTATCAAGCTAGGCTTCGCAGGGAAGAGGGCGAAGAGTTCAGGTAGCTTCTCAGCTTGCTTTATCAAACCAGAGATTGTGTGGGGGATTCCCTGATGTTTGACAGTTAGAAACAGTTAAGATCTGTGATAGTTTGCAATTTGGAGAGAAGAGAGTCTTTCCCATTACACAGTGGGAATGAAATGTTACAATTCCTGGTACCTTACAAGATATATTTTTACATAGATTTGGAGAGGATTTGCTTTTTTTCTTAGCTTTTTTGTCATCTTTAATTTCACAGTCACATGGTTTTCAAAGAGGTTCAGGTAAAAATAATATTATATCAGGAAGAAGAAATTAAAGGAGTCTGTGATCATTTTTAACTATGTTGAAAATAGCATTTTGAACAAGGGAGATGATGTGACCCCAAAACTTTGCTTAGAAATCTAAGTGAAATTTATCATCCTATGGGTGGTGTTTTAATAACATCATGTTTGATTATAAACGAGTGTGACCAAATAGTGTCTCCATTTGTTCAAGCTTTTCCCTAGAGCAGAGACAATCTTTCCAAGTCTTATTTTCTGTCAAAGTAGGTTTGTCAGAGCAATGCCAGTCCTAGCTTGAAATCTCCTAAAATGATCACGACTTAATAGATGGTTAGACTATGTACATTTCAAAAGCCCAACAAATTAGAAAGTAATGTCTGATTAATCTGCATACATTGTAAGGAGAAGGAGTATTATACTGAATAGTCTTATCAGGAAGTCAAGTGATGCTGTTTTAGGTAATAAATTAGATTTGTTTGTGCCTCTGCTATTAAAGTGAAATCAGTGTGGCTAGTCAGCCCTTTTCTTTTCCAAAATTAGTTTTTATTGATTAATTTAAAAAAATCCCAAACTCTGAATCACTAAACACTGAAGAATTCACTTTTTAAATTCCTCACCTCTTAGTAACAAATTATCTTAATATTTTCGGTGGGTGATTATTACCATGTAATGCTTTCCACATTTTAGGCATTGGTTTGTTAGGCTCAAGATGAAGATTTTTGGTCATTAAGATATCTGTTCCAGAAAGTCCTGTGGTGGGGGTGGGGGTGAGAGGGGGGGAATGGGTGAAGCCAAATTTAGCTGAGAGTTGTGGGTGCTCATATTTTTTAATTTACTTTGAATATCTAGTGGCTAGAACGCTCAGAGATAAACATGAGTTAAAGTGGAAACCTAAGTATTTCCCAGATCCTCTTGGAGATATTAATAAACATGGTATCAGGAAAAGGTTCTGTGGCCAATTGGTTTGGGGTGCTTTGGACATCACTGCCTCTCCCTGAGATTCAAATGTTAACTAGCATAGCAAATGCTTTCAGAAGGCTCATAGTATACATACCCATGTAGCTTAGCATCTCCCAAGTTTATTTGAACACTTTTACTCTGTAGTCTTCCTCCCCAAAACACATAACCCAAGACTAACCATAAAAAAAAAATCAGAAAAATTTCAATAAACGAGCATCCTATGATACATGAATACTAAATATAATCTAGTATACTGGATGGGATCTTGAAACCAAATAGAAGGACAGGTGAAAACTAAGGTAATCTAAATAAACTATGAACTTTAGTTAATAATGTATCAGTACTGATTTGTTATTATAATAAATATACCATAGTAATGTAAGAAGTTCAAAATAGGGGAAATTGCGTGCAGGAGGTACATGGAAATTCTCTGTAGTATCTCCTTAGTTTTTTTGTAAACCTAAAATGATTCTAAAAAATATAAAGCCTATCAATAAAAAAGGCTACATTAACAAGGCATGTGCTCCTTTATATGAGACTTTTTCTTTTTAAAATGTTTACTCTGTACACAAAATAGTTTGGGCCATATAAGAATATGTTTTCCTGTCATGGAAGGTGCACCGTCTGTACGTACACTCACTAAATGGACCAAACGCAATCCATGCTCACGTCATTTATCTTGAAAGTTGTTGTAGATATCTATTACCCATGTTCTGTTCACAAGAGCGCCCAAAGCGAGTAACTCTTCGTAGCAAAGTAAATCTTCTATTATGACCCAAATGAAGTATAAAATCTACACCAAGTCAGTAGTATCAGTTGATTCATCCAAAGCAATTGAATAATATATATTTCCCCTTTGAAGTATTGCATGAAGTTGTTCTTTTAAGTTGAAGGCTAATGCATGCTGCCAATCAGTTATGGTTCTCCTTGAAAAAGGCAGTTGTTTGAAACATTTGAAGCATCCTACAACTTCACCAACGTATTCTTTCACAATATCTACATGACTGAATGGCTTCTCTTTTCTTGAGTATGTATGCTACTTTATACATTACTTCAGTGGCATTATTTCCAGGTCTTATTGCTGCGTGAAAGAATTGTCTTTGCTTTTTCTTTTCACCTTTTAATTTCTGCAATACAACTTTTTGCACCTCTCCCTCTAATTTAAAATATTT